AATATGCATAGAATCACTTTCTGAGTCGATTTATGCATGTCTGTTGATGTTAAATCGTAAACAAAGTACATATCGCATTTATAATCCGGCCCAAGGACGAACCCTATTGAAATTGAGAAAAATCGCTTCAAATTACATATAGCTCCCATATATATTTTCGTCCGATTTTATGTAAATGATGCACCGAATTCCCTATATATTTTTACGAAATTTGGCATAGCATATTGATTTATGACTAGGATAGTGTGTGCTCAATTTTGTGAAAATCGGTTCAGATTTAGATATGCGTGATTTCAGTAATTGAACAAACAGTTCAATTAAGCGGGTATCGGATAATTGGTTTCTCGGTTAATTGAACAAAAAATTGTGCAAATTTTGTTGTGCAATTAACCGAAAAATACTGTACTTTCTTTCTGTTTCTGAAACAGGCCTACAAAAATAATAATATAGAACACACATCTTCATTGTTTTAATATTTTGTATTGCCGTACTTTACATCCACCACACATTGTAGACGTTTTTTCATCGAGATGATTAAATTGTGCAAGTCGTAATTGTTCAGGCTATATTTGACTTATGGTTAGGATCATTATTCTGTTGAATCCAAAGTTCATAGAACTGTTTTTTTTAATTTCTAAATATTGTTCATCCACGCGTTTGCATCCTTAAACCATTATTGACATTTTTCCAAATTTGGCTATTGGAATGATGTTCTGAATGTCTTTTAAATAAAATTGAACAAATAGCAATAGTTTCGGTTGCTCATTTAGAGGAATCCGCATTGTAATCAGCTGATTTGTACAGCTGTTATTGTTATTATGCATCACACTTGTTCGTAAACATAACGATGTATCGACAATTCTCTTATGTCCCCTCTATTCGTATCACTTGGAAATAGTTCAGATCTCCCCGCGTATGGTGTCTTTGTTTGTCGTGTCGTTATCAAATAAATATGCGGATTTTACAAAAAATGTAATAAATTTTAAATGAAATATATCGTATAGATGTAAGTCTGATGCATGTTATTGTTGCTGTTAAAGAACCAAAAAAATCGTTTATAATTCATTCGTTTAAAAGCCTCCCTCTCATAATCTTCTAATTGCTTGTGATGTAAGGGGTTTTTATATTCTCTAGGTAGGCAAAATTAGTCAGGGACTGAAGAAAACTGTTGTCTGATCAGAATCAGATCTAAACCAAATGTGGTGGTCACTATACCTAATCTATATGATACTTAAATTTAAAATACTACAAATCAGGTAAAAACGGAGTTAGGTTTGGCCGTGCAGAACATTTTATACCCTCCATAGGTAGACATTCAAAATACCTAAAGTCTGTCTATGGCATGGTAAATTTTTGTAGCAAGAAGCAGAAAATATATCCAACTATAGCCAGTTCGTATGAAAAACGACCCCAAAATATCGAATAAATGGAGTCCCATATAATGATTTACCCAAAAGTTTGAGCTTACATAGTTATTTTTATTTAATTTAAATAGTTAATCAAATATTAGAGTGATTTCTGTATTTCCTTTAATTATATATGTGTATACTTATAGTAGTCTTTGCCGGTTGATAAAATATGTAGCCGGTCATCCCACCGGTTGGGGCGGGTGTGAGTGGCGTGGGACCGAACGAAAGACGATTTTTCTATGCAATGAGCATCGAAATATTAAAAAAACAATTAAGCTTAAAATGGACAGAATAATCAAAATACCGCAAATTATGTTGTAATGTTATATGGAGGCTACCTAAATTGGACATATACATATATAGAGTTCAAAATACTTATTTACTGCCAATTTTGTAATTTTTGATAAGGGGCTTTGCTACCCAATGAGAATGTAAAATATGTGGACCGATATTTAAAATTCCGGTAAGACAATTTATTAATCAATGGACAACCAAAGTTACATATTGCAGCTAATTTGGTTGTGACATGACCATAATTCTCAAAATACCGTCAATTTGCAGATACCGTAATACGTAGGTTAAACCCAAAAGAGAAACCGATATATCCCATTGTTATACCCTCGGCCTTATGGCTGATGTGGGGGATATACACATTGGTGCACCAAAAACTGAATATTAGTTTTAGACCTCATATTTACTTGGACCAACTCCTTTTCAGACAATTTTGAAAAGATTTACAAATGTCCGTCCCATTGTGTCTGGCTGCTTGGTGCGTACGATAAATCTCAAAGTGAGTAACCGGTTTTCATCAAAAACTTTGGACGCATTACTATTTTTACCTAAGATGGTCCGATATCAAAGATGAAACCCACTCCTTCTGGCACCTCTTCCAATTTTTCAACATTTTCAAAATTTGATAATCCAATAACACTCGTAATCGGTCAAAATTTTTCTGAATATTAGTTTTATAATATCAAATAATAAAAATAATATATCAATCTTGAAATGGGTCCCGTTGGTCCACTCCTTCTGAAACCCCACCCACAAAGTGTAACATTTAAAAAATTTTGTAAATCCAATATCGTCTGAATGTCTGATTTAATCCAAACTTTACAAATCGTAATATTTTTCCAATCCAATCCGCCATACATTCATAGTTGAGTTTTGACATAATCTACCTTAGCGGTCCAGAAGGAGGATTTTACATATAGAAGGTATTTTACCTGAAGAAACAGCCATTTCTTCTACCAGACTATAAACAAACGTTTAACTATTTGTGTCCCGAAATGGCAACTTACCACCACTTCAGTTCTAATAGTGTGGGTTGAATCTACATATATTTGAAAGTCCTCCTTTGTCGACATGTCGATTTAGAAGGTTGAAACACATTAAATGCTAAATATAAGGGTAGAATATTGTTACTTTATTTATACATTGATATTTTATGTATGTATATTTAGCAAATTACTATAGAAACATTTAAAAAAAACTACAACTGCAAATATACAATCCTCCAAAATTAATAATGATTTTTTTGTTTCAGAAAATTTCTACATTACCGATCAATTTTTATTCAACCATGTCGTCGACTGCACTCGGAACAAAACACAATTGTTATAGCATCGGCAGTTCGTACACCATGGGGTTATCCTTTAGGTGAAATATCATTGGTGCGATCAAGTTCGCTAATGACTGTGGCTCTGGAGGCAGCTGTCAAACAATCCGGTGCCCCATTAGAGAAAATAAAATACATTTGTATAGCTGAAAAATTTAGCAAAGATTTACAATTAAATGTAGAAGAATTGTGTAATGGGTATTTAAAGAAAGCTAACTTTCAAATTGTAAAAGAGGAAGATAACACGGCCTATACATATATCGTGAAAAGTATTGGCTCACTACTGGCTGGTACTTCTGATTTTGTAATTGTTGGAGGTGTGGAGACGGCCTCGGAAAATCCAAATAAACAGGAGGGTATACTTAATGGTGATTACTACAAAGCATTACACCATAGGGCCACATTTCAAGGTTTCTATGATGCTGAATTGGTACCGTTGCGGATACTACAACAATTACCGAATCAAAGAAGATTTCAAATTGAAATTGAGCAAGATGAAGTTAATGAGGAATATAGCTCAACATATAATGGAGCTGCGGCATTGGTACTTACCACCATGTCAAAGGCATTGGAGTATAACATAAAACCTTTAGCTAAACTAAAACATTATAATATTGTGAACAACTCCCCTGTTGAGAAGATACCCCAAGAAGCAAGAAATTTAGTGGAAAGATCAAATTTGGATATAAGCCAAATAATTCATTGGGAAATTAATAATAATGCATTGTCCACAATTCAGGATAAATTTAATATAACCGAAAATATAAACCCATATGGTTGTAGTTATTTAACTAATAACTCAGCAGCTTCATTATGTCGCATGCTGACCCACATGAGTCACAACTTGTGGCCTAACAATTCTGGTGCTGTAATTCATTCAGATGACAGCAACACATTTATGGCAATCATGGAAAAATTGTAAGTAGTACACCCATTTACTATTGTATGCACTTAACTAACATAATTTTTTTCTAGACATTATCCTAATCCAAATGGTGGTCTACCTCGTTTAACATTGTTCACCAAAGATCCGTGCCATTTGTGTGAAATGTTGGTGGTCGATTTAGAAATGAACTTCCTTGGAGAATATGAACTAGAAAAAGTATATATCGACAAGAAGGAAAATGTAAGATTTTTACGTTTATATCGCCATGATATCCCAGTTCTATATTTGAATGGTCAATTTTTGTGTATGCATCGTTTGAATGCTAGACTTTTACGACAAAAATTGAACTTTTTGAAGAAACGACAAATAGAATAAAGGAAGAATTATTACTTACTCGTGGTGAGAATTCATTATTTGTGGATAATAATCAATTTTTGATCTCAATAAATTATACTAATGCGAAACTGAAGACTAAATTATTTTTAAAGATTCTCTATAACTTGCAAATTCGAACACATCACTGTTAAATTCGATAAACAATTTTACATAATATGGATTTTTAAGTTTATATCGCCATGATATCCCAGTTCTATACATTAATTGTAAATTTTTGTGTATGCATCGTTGAATGCTACACTTTTACGACAAAAATTGGAAATATGCATCATATATTCAATCTTGTGGCCCTTTCTATGCTAGAAATATAAAAACACCCTCTACGAACTTCAAATAAAAATGTCATTGAATATATAGGCGGTCAAGTTGCTCGGCGGCAGCATTTGTGTCGCATCAGGCTAGAAAATATAGTGTCTCCTCATTGACAGGCAAAACCTTTCCAACAGACTCCTGCGGACAGTTCGAGAAAACAGCTATATATATTTTTTTCTTGTTTTCGTTAATTTAAAGACCCCCCTCATGATTCAAACGAATGACACCTATTGTATTCAGCAACCCCTAAACTATAACGATATATTTTTAAACTAAGCGCACAAATGTAGGTGCAATTGAAACCTTATAAATGCCAACGTAAAATTGATTTGCGACATTAGAGTAGCAAATGTGAATATTCTTTTCACAATCTGCTCTCAACATGGAACGTTGGCACAATAAATTGGCAATTGTTACCGGAGCCAGTGGAGGTATAGGTGCTGCATGTGCCAGAACTTTAGTTGGAGCCGGGCTAAGAGTTGTTGGTTTGGCTAGAAGGGAAGCCAAATTGAAAGAGTTACAAGAGAGTTTACCTGAAAGGCAAAAATCTCTCTTTATACCACGAAAATGTGATGTCTCTAAAGAGGATGAGGTCATTAAAACTTTTGAATGGACTGAAAAACAATTAGGCGGTGCTGATGTTCTACTAAACAATGCTGGGTAATAAAAATCAAATTTGTAATTACTCCAATTTAATTTTATTCTTTTTATTTTCCGTACAGAATAACACGTGAAACGGAATTAATTGCTCCCGGCAATACCGAGAAAATACGGCAAGTAATCGACACTAATGTCATGGGAGTACTATGGTGTACACGTGAAGCATTCCAGCGCATGCATAAACGAGGCAATGAGGCTCATATATTGATTATAAACAGCATTGCAGGTCAACAAGTGTTAAATTTTATAGATGTCTTACCATCATTTAACATATATCCGGCTACAAAATTTGCCATTACCGCAATGACCGAAACATATCGTCAAGAATTTCAATTACATAAAAGTAAAGTTCGAATTACTGGCATTTGCCCAGGTGCTGTCAATACAAATATCTTTCCCGAAGAAATACATTTTTATGTTAAGGATATGCCACGGCTGGATCCGGATAATATTGCCGATGCTGTAGTGTTTGCACTGAGATCACCACCCAATGTTCAGGTATTTTCAAAAATAAATTATGAGATTAAAATTGAAATTAATTTTTTTTGATTATTTTTAGATACATGAAATTACTTTGAAGCCAATGGGAGAGATGTTTTGAATTCATGAATGAATGCTAATTCGTATACTGAAATAAATATTCATATTACAAAACAAAATAAAATACGTATGATTGGATTATTTTAGTAAGAATCCTTATAAAGAGAGTACAAGTTATTGCTGCTATAATGAATGGTATTTTCTGAAAAAATATATGGAAACATATTACTAATTCGCTGTATGAAGGAAATTAGGATTGGAAGATAGTCGGAAATTTGTTGTCACATCTATTCACTTTAGGCACAAGACTGGGGAAGGAATATTCTGTACATTTGAATATTGAATAAATGATGCGTATCGTAAGGGCTTGTAAAAACTCCTATTTATTTTTTATCTATTTATTTATTTCATAGTGCCCAGGCTGTAAGCTACATTTCACAATTAAATATAAATTTTATTGTATTAAGCGGCTTAAATGTAAAAGGGAGGGATATTGAACTACTAAAGAATATTATACCGATTAAATTACAAAAAAAAAAGTTTTTGATTATTATAGGTTATGATTAAAAAATTTGATTAAGTGGATTATGACTACTCCAGTAGGAATGGAATGGAAAATTATTATATATAAAAATGAGTTGTGTTTTTATCTAAATAATTTGTATCACAAATATAAAAAAATTAAACATACATACGTACATTAAAAAATTTAATTGATAACAGATAACAGAATACCGGCTATGTCGCAGCTGCAGGTGATCGGTATGGGCCAAAGGGTATTTATAGGGCTTGTCTGATATTATCATACATACCAAGTCTATGGGAAAATGTAACTTAAACCTTAATCCGAAAGCTGGGAAGCCAAGTCATACGTTGCCTTTGGGCTATATACCGATTATCCTCTGCCTTGTTTCTATTCAAGGCACTTGAAGGGTTAATAGACCTCGAAATTAGGAGCACCATAAATTCGAACAATATCAGCAAATCCCAACATGCCTACATCAAAGGCAAATCTGTGGACACTACCTTACACGAGGTTTTCGGATATATCAAGAAGAATATGAAGAATTCTAATTATACATTGTATGCGTTCCTCGATATCGAAGGAGCCTTCACCAATGTGAAGCTGGACATTCTGGGGGGTTACTCTGTATTGCGTTGCGAAAGCCAGTGCGATGCGAAAGCTAAATGCGTTAAGAGTGCAATTTGGTACTCTGTATCGTTCACGCAAATGCATTCGCAAAATAAATCGAAAATAGGGCAAAACTGGCACCACAAAGTAAACAATAACGAAGAATGACAAAAGGAAACGTCAAAAAATTGTAAATAAAAACATATTCTTATGTGGTACGAGTGTTTTTTTTTTTTAAACAAAAATGATGAACCAACTAAAAAAAGAATTTTAAGAGATCGATCAAATATACTCTACCTAAGTGAACACGGGTATGAAAATAGAAGTACGAATAATGTGACAAAAAATTTCAAATATTTAATTTTTATAAATTTTTACAAAATGTTAGTCTCAATAAAGATGCGTTTATGTTTTTAATAAACGCTATTAAAAATGACCTCGTCGTTCCAAATAGATCCACAGCAATTTCAACTCCAATAAAAGTGGCCACTGCTTTGAAATTGCTTGGACAAGGTGGCTATTAACACCAACCTGTAAATATGCACACATAGTTTCACATTTTATATATAAAATATTACTTTTTTCCAACCAGCGACATCTCTTACAGGAGGTCCATCTGAATTAAGGTCATCATTCAGTTTTCTCTACAAATTTTTGGCGCGTCGTTTCGCATTTGAACTCTGCAACTGGCCCCTTGCCAAATCGCTGTATTGCACCATAAAATCTACTAAAGTTTGGAACTGACGGTGCTGAGTCGTCAACTGTAACTTTTTTTGGCTTTCACCCAAAATAATTATCAATTTAGATATAAATAAAAACTTTAATTGTGCTTACTTACATGTTTCGCTTCAGTTGCGTTTGCTATTTTGTTAACGCAAGATATTTGCGTTTAACGAACGAGTTTGACATGCGTTTTCGTATTACAGATTGCGGTGATGCCACATTTGTGTAAAGTATATGCGAAAGGAGATACGAAAACGAATTAGAGAGTACCAATTACGCGATGCGATACAATTTTTCTTACGCATCGCAATACAGAGTAACCCCCCTGCTCTCGAATCTTCAGCTGTCTCTTCTCGCATAAAGGAATGCATTGATAGAATCCTGGAAAGCAAAATTATCAATTCATCTATTTGAGAGAGTTACGTGAGGAAATCTGTCAACTGGGGAACACCGCAGGAGGGAGTACTATATCTTCTGGTGATAATTTTTGTATTCAGAAGACAAGAATTGACCTACAGATTTGTATAATCATTTCAAATTTTAGATATGTTTGTTTGACTGCTCACCACCATTGATGCTATCTCAAAAATGAATTTTTTTGCCAGATTTTTACTCTATAATATTCCATATTATAATAACACACATTGTTTGTTTATTTTTATTAATTTTTCATTTTATTTTTATAATAGTTTATCTTTATACGACAAAAATTGTTTATTGTTATTATTTTATATATATATATATAGTTTATATTATATATACTTTACTTTTCACAAATACTTATTTACTTACTAAGCAGTTTGTTTTATTATTTATAATTAAATATATATTATTTATATTGTTATACATATATAGGTATATTTATATATATTATTTTAAACTTATATAATATTTCACAAAATAAACATTATTTTTTATGTTTGTTTGTTATCTTTTTCATACATGATACAACTTTTCGTTTTTTTAATTTATGAATATTTTAATTTGTTATTTTATCAATGTGTGTGTGTGTTTAGCCAATTGGGGTTTTTTATTGGTTAGCAAAATGCGGAAATATATTTTTTTTGAATTTATGATTTTTTTGGTTATGTGGCGGGGCGGGTGGGAAATTGTTCATTATTATTTTTTATTTATTTGTAGACTTAAAAGCAACAGGTGGAAGGTTATGCATACATGTAATACAGGAAGGTAATTTTAACCATTGTCTGTCAGTTGGATGGGCCGACTCTGTATTGAATTTTTATTATATCTTTAAAAATATTTTTAAACATAAATGAAGACTTGCTGATAAATTACATAAATAAAAAATACATTTTACAAAAAAAGAAATACAAAAAAAAAAAATATACAAATAGGTAATGGGGGTTTTCTGGGAAATTTTGGGATTTTTTGTATTTTGAGTTTTACTGCTAAAATCATAATGGAAGATAATATTATTAAAAAAAAATATTAAGAGGATAGATTTTCAGCCTTTGTTTTTAGTTTTGGTAGACGACAAGTGTTGTTTTTTTTGCTAAGCTAAAAAAAATTAAATTTTATTATACCCTCTTAATTTTGTTTTTGGTTTATAAATTAAAAATTGTTTAAAAATATTTTGAGTTTTATCCATCTACATACATTTTTGTATTGTTTCAGATATTTGAAATTTTGTAAACTAGAGTTTTTATTTTATTTTTGCTTTATTAATTTTTTTGTCAACAATTTTATTTTAACTAGTTTCGTGTCATGGTGGTTTTCTCAAATTTCAATTCCATATTATTCCTCAAATAAATAGATTTGTATGTAGTTCTAAAGAAAAAAAATTAAATTTTAAAAAATTTATTTTTAAAAAATATTGAAGAAAAAATATCATAATTGGGAAATAAAAATACAAAAGCGAAGACTTATGTGGAGTTTAATGCAGCAGCGAGCCTTGGACTATGCGATGCATAAATTGAAATATTTTTTTAAAACAAATTAAATTATTTTTTTAATAAAATGATTTTTTTTGTAAATAAAGAAATATAATTAACCGTTTAAATGCAAAAAATTCTAATTATATTTTTAATACCAAACACCCTGGGAGTAGTGGCAATGCATGTGTAAAATGTTCAAGTTATATTGCGTGCTCTACGTTTATCTTCTCTTGATATTAAAATAATATTTTAATTAAATTTTCCACACTGTTTTTTCAAAATCCTTTGCATTTTAAATAGTTTAAATTTCCATGTGAATATTACGTGTGGCCAATATACTGTGAAGATGGATGTATGTAATTATCATGTGTTTAAAAAAATAATTTTTTGGGGGATATTCATTTCTTCAGTTTAAAAAGTTGCATATTATTGTTTTTCTCTTTTCTGCAAACGGTAGGTAGGTTAGGTCTGTTTGTTTGGGTAAAATGGATTAGTATATATTTTTTGTTTGTTATTGTATATAGATTGCAGTTCTACATTCAAATATATATAGAGTAGTTGTAGTAGTAAGTTGTATTTGTTTTGTTGTTTCCAATATTTTGTAAAGAATATTTTTGTTATAATATATGTTTATTTTGAATTTTTCTTTTTTGTTTTATTTTCAAAAATCGTATTTTTGTTTTCTATTAATTTTTGGTATATTTCTCTTGTTAATTTTTTAGAAGGAGGACTGCATAGTTTCCGGTTTTTTTATATATAACATGCAGTATATAGCTCTGGCTTAAGATGTATTGTTATGAGTTAAGGGTGATGGGATGGGGGGAACAACACTGACAATGCTTAAACACAATAACTGAAAAGTCTGTAGGTCAAGAGGAAATAGTTGTTTAGGGATTTATTGTAACATTAATTTCATAATTTCAGAAATGTATTTCGGAAACTCCGACTATGGCAAATTTTCTTAAAAGCAGTCGACTTGTTTAAAGATAAACAATATTAAATAAATGATCGCTTTATTTCTATCTTTCAATTAAAAAAAATTCTGAGTCAATAGCCTTTTTTTAGATGATCCAAATAAAATTATTTAGGTTTCGATTTTGTTCTATATGAATTGGCATTGTTTACAAAATGTGTTATGTACCCCTTAATACAAAAACATGATATTCTGCAATTCTACTCCGCCTCCAAGATCTAAAACGACAAATAGATCTGAATATATTCTAAGCACTTCTATAAATGTATGAACTTTTGGAAGTTTTCTACCAAAGGAAAGACTTCAACAGATATAAATAACAAAACTGCCTTTTCGCCGGTCTTCAAATTAATTTTTTTTAATGAAAGAATGTCTTCAAGAGGTCTACTATTAATAAAAGGGATGACAATCAAATCTGTCTACTATAGATAGAAGGATTGCGAGAAGTTATTCTAGAAGAATATTAACAATAAATGCCCACAGGATTTCTATGAAAAACACTTATTATTACATCTACTGATAAACGAAAGGACTACAGGTCTACTATATTCTTTCACTATCAAGAAGGACATTCTACAGATTTTCTATATAAGTAATGTATCCGTCAGTCCTAATATATTACAATGTTTTAGAAATTCTACTGAAAAGAGGCCATCGAACAGGACTTCTATGAAAATTATACCTTCTACAGAGAGACATTCTACAGATCTTATACAGAAATAATATATCCGTCAGTCCGAATATATTGAAATTTTTAGGACCTCTACTGGTAAAAGGCCTTCTATGAAAAGTATGCCTTCTATAGTTCTGCTATATCATTTAACTTTGCAAAGAGAGACAATCTAAAGTTCTTCTATAGAAATAGTATATCCGTTAGTCTTTTTTATTGAACATTTTTAGGTCCTCTACTGATAAAAGGCCATCGAAAGGCCTTTTATGAAAATACTGCATTCTACAGGTCTGATATGTCCTTTTATTATCAAGAGATTTCTAAATGACTTTCACCGATCATAAAAAATCTTCTGCAATCACAGAGACCTCCTATTTTCTATAGAAATTATGTATTCGTGAGGTAAAATAAATTTAAAATTTTTAGGACGTCCACTTATAAAATGCCATCGAAAGAAATAATGTATTCATTAGGTCTAATATATTTCTAAATGACTTTCACCGATCATAAAAAATCTTCTGCAAACATACTTCTATAGTTTATATTGAAAGTAGTTTAAGTCCATTTTTTCTTATAGTAACATATTTCAAGGTTTTTGGTTTGATTTGTTTCAAAAATATTTTTAAGTGGTATTATTTTTGTTTGTGGTTTTGTATCCTTAAACACGATATAATATATAAACTTTTCTAGAAAACCTAGACTTTTATCAAAACCTAAAATGGACTTAAACTACTCTCAAAATAAACGACTCATTTATTCTATAAATGGAAGGCCAATTACTTTTCCTCGTCTTTGGAATAAGCTTTCAGTGATAACTTTACCGGCCTGTTACTCAGTCTTACATCTGACACACAGACTAAATTTCAAATCGTTTTGGGTCGCCAGTATAATTTATTTCTATATGAAACACCTGACAGTATTTTCATATGGAGTGAACCACCATATAAATGAAAAACCTTATACATATTTATACAAAAATAAAATCTTGAGCCGATAGAAACAAATCATCAATAAGGCCTACTACAGTAAAAGCAGTAAGGCTGCTACAACAACGATAATAGTTTGGCTCACCTTCAAGGGGTTTTTAAATCACTGTTGGAACTTATTTCCATGTGAAAACCTTGATGCCTTTTTCATATGGAAGAGCGAATCACTCACAACCATTGGCCATTGACCGAAGACATTTTGATTGTGTTTTTTTTATACACGAAGGTCTTTTACAGGCTTCGTATAAGGCAATTCCAACCCTTCCAAAAATACAACAACAATAACAGTTTGGAACACATTCAAGGGATTTTCGGATCACGGTTCGAATTTCTGTTATTTATTTCTGTGTGAAAACCTCATTTTAATACGGAAGAGCGAATCACTCTCAACAATTTTCCTTTGATCGAAGACATTTTGACGGTGTTTTTTATACACGAAGGTATTCCACAGACTTCATCCACATAAGGCCTTACTGATCTTTCTGGAAATGGAGGAGCTTAAACATATTTGTATATACAGTTGAAATCACTTATTATGACGGCCAAGGGACCTCAAACGATATGTCGTTATAAACGATGTCAAGAAAAAGCAGAACCTTTATCGGGACTTTGGACATAGCTGTTATAACCAACGTTATAAATGGCGTCGTTACAAACGATAAATAATTTCTACACAAACAAAGTCTTCAACCGATATAAAAACCTTCAGTAAGGTATGAAGCAGTTTGGCTCATTTTCAAGAAACTTTTGTTGCATTTCTTTTTATTTATATAACTTAAGACTTTTCAGTTGGTGTGTTACTAGCTTTGTTATATATTCAATGAATGTGTATTTTGTTGATGAAGTGGGCGGCGTTTAGACAACATCGATTATTTTTTTAAACTTCCATTTTAAAATTTTCTTTTTGTTATCGTTTTAAATTTCAAAAATTAGTTTTACTATTTTTTACTTGTTTCTGTATAACATTGATTGAATTTTTTATTATTTTTATAGCAATTTTTGTTGTTGTTGTAACAGTAGTGTTTTTTATTTATTTTTATTATTATTTTATTTGTTTTTTTAATAGTTTATCATATATTTATATATTAGGTATTATAATAGGTTTTCTTTGTTGTTGTAATAGTAATAGTAGTTGTTGTTTTTGTTTGTTTTTTCAAATAAAGAAAAGTCTTGTGTCCAACAAATATATATATTATTTGTAAATATATGGAATTTATGCTACTATCTTGGATTTTCCATAACAACCTGTTTGAATGCCCCTGCTAAGACACGGGACTTTACCTCATGGTTGCCAAATGTGGTGGTGCCATCCTTAGCTATGTACAATTGTAAACCAGAAGCTGTAAAAAGGGGGGATGAAAAGGGGGAAATTAATTAAATTGAAATAAATATTATTTTTCAAAAGCATGGGACTTACTTTCCGCCGCCTCCAATTGATCCAATTTTGTATCCTTCAAGATTTCATCAATCAATGAATTCGGATTGACCCTTGTCTCTTCCACACGATCCGAGACCCGGGGACCATCGTCCAGTGGCCCCTTCTTGCCTTTGACGGTATTTTTCATGCGATCCAATGAACCAGTTTCACTTATAACTAAGGAGCCAGAACTGGGATTCCTAAGACAAATTTAGCAGAGTTGTTTGTTTTTGTATTTAGATCCAGAAGTTGTATTTGGTTTTGGTTTGTGATTGGTGGGAGGTTTGGGTTATTTATAGCAGCATAATTTGTAAGCGTTATGAAGAATTTTGTTTTTTTTTTTTGAAAACATAATCCATAGCGAAGAAGAAAAATGAAAAAACAGAAACAAAAAACAAATTAGTAAAATTTTGTTGAAATAATTTTAATATTATAATAAGACGATGATAGCAATCACCAAACATAAATATAATAATAAATTGAATTGAATAACAAATGGACAAATTTTTTTATTATAAAAATATTTTTTTGAAATACAAAAATTTGAATGTTGAACTAAACTCAAAGCTTAACTATAGACTTAGATTGAAAGACAGATTATAGAAAATAGAAAAAAACGAGTGAAAGAGAGAGTGATAGAAAGTAAGGAGGCATAGAGAGCGCAGATGTAAATTAATAAAGACGTATGTGTAAATTATTGCAAAAGATCAAGGTTGAAGTGGTAAGAATATTCAATTATTTTTTAAATTTCATATCAAACTATTGAACTAAAGAAAATTGAACTTATTCTGCAAGAATTTTGGCATTGATTGGTGGAAAATGTTTGTTTGGTAGATTTAAAAAAAAAATAGTTCAGATATTAGGCCGTAAATTAATGGATACGGTTTTGATATTCAATTAATTTTTAGTTTTTATAAAAAAATATTGGGCTAAAGAAAATTAAATCTATTCTGGAAGACTGTGGCAAAAGAATACATATTTTTGACATTCAATTGTTGGAAATTTTGATTAAATATATTAAAAAAATAGTTCGGATGAACAAATTTTTTGAATTGCAAACAGAAATTTTGCTTTTGAATGGTGACATCTTATTTTTGATTGCAATTCAAAGACAATTTAATCTACGACTTAATATCTGAATTATTTTTGTTTCAAAATACTAATTTAAAATTTTCATCAATTGAATGCCAATTGATGTGTTCTTTCACCACAATCTTTTAGAATAGATTTAATATTCTTTAATATTTTATTATAAAATCTATATCCATTAATCTACGGGGTAATATCTGAACTTTTTTATTAATCTTCTGAATCGATTTTGCTTTTGAATGGTGGAAAAAATAATTTGTGGATTTTACAATCTTACATAAAATTTGTTTGTAGGAGAATAATATTTCAAACATATTTATTTAAATTTTTTAATAGTAATGATCCAAAATAGGATTAAAGGAAACATTTTAATTAAAGTAGACCACTAAAAAATAAAAAAAAAAAAAACTTTATGAATCCATTATTTAAAATAGCCTTACATAGTACATTAATTTTGATTGGAGGAGAAAATATTGGGTAATATATTTTTTTTAATATCTTTGTGGAAGTTTTTAATATACCTTTAATTTTTTACAGAATTCAGAAGATTTAAAAAATCCATATTTAAAATTCTTTTTTATTAAAAAAATAAAGTCCGTTTACATTTCAACCACTGATTTTTTTGCTGTAAAGTGAGTAGCAGTTTTGATAGAGGTGTTTTCTTTTGTGTGATATTGAAAAGTGTAGGTAGGGGTAGGGTAGGTAACACAACACATACAAAATTTGTATATAAGTATATAGTTCCAAAATAAAACATAACATTGCCAAACATTTATATAAGTTTTTTAAATAATTGATAACAGCACACACAACAAAGTTTTTTTTTGTGAATAACAGAAGATTGGTTAGTTTTGTTATAAAGAGAGAAAAAAACACAACAACAACATTCAATACACATGGACAAAAAATAATGAAAAATGATGTATCAAAAATCAGAAATTATTCGCATTACAAAAAATAAAACAAATTTAGAATGCAAAAAATGAATCTACCATTAAATCAATTTTTTTACTTTGTAAAAAAAAATTGTGAGATGAAAAGATTCTAGACAAATAAAAAATAATAAACTGAAGGAAAAAAATTGTAATTGGCCCTTTGACAATTCTACTACTAAATTTAGTACTGATATTTAGCACTACCATATTATTGTACAGAAGAACTATGTTTATATGTCTAGTAGTAGAGTTTACAATAAAATATGGCACATGACTTCGCCTGGCAGAATTCAAAGCTGTTCACTTCATGGACGCGGTGAAAGGTTGCTACTATTGGAGAGGCCAATAGATCCGAAGTTTGTTCAAACAATGTGAAGATTTTTCGTAGCCAATAATATTCAAATTTGGCACGTATAAAAACAAGCTCTTTCGTTTTTAATATCTATAAAATTTTTACAAGTAGAATCTACTGTGTCAATCTTTAATTTACTTGAAAATAGTGACCTTTACTCTCGGTCGATATTTGAAAGTGGACGTGGATATTTGAAAGTTGACGTCACAGTCATTGTCTTTTTCTTCGCTATCTGACACCTCTGTAAGAAAAAATTTGTATGACATGGGTCAAGACACAGGCTAAAAAACTATGTGGAAACTGTGTACACCACATTCCGCAGGTGTTTGGTATATGGTTTTCTCGTATGTTGAAACCGTTTTCTATCGAAGAAACTGAAGGCGTCTTCTGTTGAAGAGTTGAAGAAGTTCTTTTATGAAAAAACTTGGTAGGTGGCTTTTATAGAAGAATTGAAGGCATAATCTGTAGAAGAGTTGAAAGCTTATTCTATAGAAAATTTAGAAGTAGACTTCAATAGAAGGGAAGAAGTCGTATTCTACAGATGAATTGCATGAGTCTTCTATAGAAGAAATGACGAGTTGAAGGCAATTTCTATAGAATAGTTTCTATAAAAGAGTTAAGGTCGTTCATAGAAGAGTTGAAAGAGAAATAATTGAAAACTTATTCTTTAGCACATTTAAAGGAGTCTTTTGTTAAAGCGTTGGACTTTTAAATAAAGAAGTTGAAGGAGACTCTTCTGTAAAAGAGTACAAGGTAGCTTTTATGGGAAGACTTGAAGGCGTCTTCTAATGAAATAGTTGAAGGCGTCTTCTATCGTCGTTCACAGAAGAACTGGAGACATAGTCGAATAATTCTTCTTTAGTGGATTTTTTGTTAAAGAGTTGGACTTGTAAATAAAGGAGTTGAAGGAGACTTTTATGGGAAGTGTTGAAAATGGTCGTTCATTGAAGGTGAAAATTGGAAATGAAATGGGAGTCAATGATTCTCCTTCCGTTCTTTACCATGTTTAGAGGTCTCATTCAACTTCTCCGTTTAAAAGTGCAACTCTTCAACAAAAGACTCCTTGAAATCTCTTAAAGAAGAATTTTTCAACCTTCTTTAAGAGATTTCAATGAGTCTTTTGTTGAAGAGTTGCACTTTTAAATAGAGAAGTTGAAGGAGACCTCTAGGCATGGTAAAGAACGGAGGGAGACTCATTGACTCCCATTTCATTTCCAAATTATTGCCCATTCCATTGTCAATATTATTATTTTGTAGGTACAATTTCAGTGAGGAGTTTCAAGAAAATTGCCCAGGTCCACGTTTTGTCATTTCCAATTCAGGAGTTGGGAATTTATTTTGCCTGGCTTCCCAAAAAAATTGCACAACTCGGGAGGTTATATAGTGCTTGTTATATCATCCAGCAAAAATGTCCTTCTTTCATAACTAAAAAATAATAAAGAAAAAATACCCATGAAATATGACATAAAAAATGAACGAATAATAATATCATCATGCTCTCAAGGATAACAAGCAAATTATAAAAGAGAATGACAGAAAAATCCTAGAAGAACAAGAAAAAACAAAAAAAAATTCTATGGAAAGAAGAAAAAAATCTTGCAACCATTGTTGTGACTACGTGATGCTTCGTTAAACTACAGCAACATTTCAAAGGATAAATAATGAAAGGGATAAAGAAAAAAATCCACTACTGTAGGGAAAAATAAAATCAGAACCAAAACTGAATATCGAAAAACAAAATTGTATGACATTTAGCTATGAAATGAAACCGTTTAACGCACATAGTAACGCTGGGACGTCGTATAAGATGTGTAGTCGTTGCCGACCCGGCTGAGGAAAGTGGCGAAAGCGTAGCTGAATTATTGCCTATAACCCCACCGGGAATGCCGGCAGTAGCTGATGTTGTGGTCATTTCGCCTGCAGCCATTAGAGAGGCAGCCGAAGGATTTGAACGCATACTACAGGCATCGGTGGGGCTGGCAGCCAATGAACTTAAAGCTGCATCACCCAAACGTGGGCTATTGCCGCCGCTATTCGTATTAAAGATGTTGGGCATGTGACCACCACCGCCGCCACCACCACAACTACCACTAGTTATGGCAGCCGCAGCAGCGGAGGTGTTATAACCAAAACCAACACCTGCACTACCAGCAGGTGAACCTACTAACGATTGTTGTTGGTGTTGTTGATGATAATGTTGCTGTTGTTGTTGTTGCTGATGCTGTTGTTGGGCCAATGACAAAGACGATGAGGTGGAGGGCAAACCAGTAGCCGCACCACCACCGCCACCGTCCACCGTATCCACTGAAGCACATTGAAATGTTATGACATTATTACTACTGCTGCTACTGCTACTTTGACTACCATTCGATGACGAAGACGATGAATGGTTAGATTTGATGCTCGACAATGTGCCATAGGGTGAGTTAGAAGAGGAAAAATGGACATTATTATTGCCAGCGGCGGCTGCTGCGGCATTATTTGCATTAACAGCAATTGAGGAAATTTGACGATTACTGCCATCCAATAAACGACGAGGTACACCACTAAAATTGCGGCTGCTAATGGGTGATGGTTTTCCCCAAAAAGTTATTATTGTTTTTTTGTAATAAATTTTATATTTGTTTGTCATTAAAAATCCATTTGGAGTAGCAAATATTTTTGGTTATTGTAGGAAAATAAATATGGAAAAAAGCATTTAAAATTTGATATTTTCGTGTTAAGAAAAAAGCATTTAAAATTTGATATTTTCGTGTTAAGAAAAGTGAAAGTAAAAAAATAAAAAATTTAATTTAAAACCAGGACGATAAAAGGACAAAAAATTAAGGCAGACTTGAAAAAAAACTAAAAATAATAAATTTGAAGCAGAAAGGCCTTTAATAATTTTATATATTTATACGATATATATTTGTAGACACAAATTTTCACATTGAGTAAAGCTAATTTTTGGTGTTTAACATTTAGTGTGTCTGTGTTTATTTTTTGTTGTTGTTATTGTTCTTGTTTGGTAGATTGTGCGTATCAGTGTAGTGTCTATATATATAATGATGTGTTATATATAAAAAAGTTGGTGTATTTAAACAACATACAAGTTTATATAAATATTTGTTCATGATTTAGAATTCATACACGAAGAATTTCTAAATTCTAAAGTTTATAATATGAGAAAATCCCTCATTTTTTTAATATTTTTTTTTAACATGAGAATATAATATTTAAGAAGAAAAAACTTTTGAATGCCTTTTTCTATAGGATTCCCAAAAACAATATATATAATTTTTTATTTTCAGATTGTTGTGAGATGAGATATGAAATTATAATTAATACTGCAGAACATGATTAAGCAACGATTAAATGGAGTCATCTAAAAACAAATTTAATTTTTGAACAAGTCCTTCCTATTGTTAAAAATTGGACTTTTAAATAGAGAAGTTATTGAAAGTGTCTTCTATGGGAAAAGTGTTTTTACTCGCTTTGAAGTGTATATTATAGAAGTGTTAAATGTGTCTCCAATTGGAAGATTTGCATGATTCTTTTATAGAAGTGTTGAAAAAGTCGTTCATAGAGGAGTTTAAGTAGACATAACAAATTCGACATAAAATACAAATTGTTTAATAGAAAAGTTGAAAAATTATTCCCTTGGAAAAAGTTTTGTCTTCCTTAAAAAATTAGAAAAAGTTTTCTATAGAAACGTTGAATCAGCCTCCAATGGAAGAGTTGAACCAGACTTCTATAAAAGAGTTGAAGGAGTCTTCTATGAAGGCGTCATCTATAGAAAAGTTAAATGAGAGACTTCTATTAAAGAGAAATCTTCTTCTACGGGAAGAGTTGAAGCGATCTTCTATAAATGAATGGAAGTAGTTTTCTATAAAATAAAAGTTGTCTTCCAAAGAAGTGTAAAATAAATCCCATATGTGTGTTGATATGATAGATTTGAAAGGGTGTGGTCGGAGATGTCACCAGTAAAACATTTATTCATAAGTAGTGACTTTAAATAATATCTTAACCGACGATAGCGGCATATGGGGAGTGGTCTTCTACTAGTTAAAACCCGAAATTCCAAGCTTTTTATATTCTTGGAAATGTTATTTGGGCCTCAGAAATGTAATGCCATAATAACCTTATATTTTTAGAAGGTATCGAATTTATTGAGTAGCCGGAATACTCATATCTATAATTGTTATTACCGGGGGTTCTATCCATTTACAGTTCGAATAATTGGGACTCAAAAATGTTTAAAATCGGGCGATACTGTTGTATGGAAGTTATCATATCTTATATTTTTAATAGGTCTCCAATTTATTGAGTAGCCGGAATACCAATGTCTATAATTTTTATTAGTAGGGGTACTATCCACTTAACACCTGATAGTTCGAATAATTTAAATATTAAAAATTGGGGGATACATTTTTAAAGATGATTAGTGGAATTTCTAAGAAGGTATTCCAGAATTTGAAATTCTAAAATTCACAGTTGTAGCCTGTTAGGTTTAAATTTTTTACTTGGAACTATAAGAGTGCTACTTTATATTATGAGGGGTAATACATAACCTCAGAACCCGCTTTATAGGAGACCATCTGTGGAAAAATTTTACGAATTGGTCTAACAATTTACGAAAATGATTAAACATTCTGAATGAGAAATGCAAAAATGAATTCAATTTTAAAAATACAAAATGCTGCAATAGTCTTCGAATTGGAGGATGTAACAATTGAAAACGAGAATTCAAAAGTAAAAATAAATAAATGATGTCTTAGATCTTCAATAAATCAAGGAAATTCCCGAAGGTGTATGATAAAAAGTGGGATGGAATCTATAATTTGTGGATGTTATCAATTAGAGTTGAGTCTTTACGAAACGAACTAGTTCATTTGAACTATACCCATAAAGGAACGATAAGAACTAGGTTCTTTTCTGTAGTTCCTATAGTTCCCTTCTCTGATCTCTGTTCCTTTATTTTTACTGATTTCGTTTCTTTACTCCCAGCTCACGGAGAAAGAATAAGCAAAGTTGTACTCAGACTAGATTTAAACACTGACAGCTTTTCCTACCTCCTTATAATGCCATATCCAAGACGTCCATTATTTATTATAGTTAGAAGGTCATTGAAAGTTCTTCTTTATATGATATATAACCAAAGATTTGAAAGAAACCCTTGATAAGTCTTTGAAGAGCAGGGGTCTAAAAGCAAATTTTTATAGGATTTCCACTGATACGATATTATTTTTTTAGAGACAGCAAAGGGGCTTGTGAGACGTACACAAAATATGGAAACTTTTTTCAGGACTTCTTTTTCATTTTTATATAAAAGAGGCTCCAGAAGGCACCTACTGATAATATAAATCATTAAGGTATATTCACATTGAAGAAGTCATTTAAATATGTTAAAATTTGACACTGAATTGGAAAAAATTACAATATATGAGTCAATAACTGTCAATAATAATCCCCCACAGTGAAATTAAAGTAAAACTAAATTTTTTCTGAATTTTTTGGATACTCCAAAAATTACTGTGGCCCACGAAAATAAAACCACTTCCCCTAGCTATTGTTCATTTCAATGTTAAAATTCAATAACTTTGACATAGATATGCGTCACATGAAGATGAAGAAATATACATACGTGCGTATGTGTATGTGCGTAACATAAAAAACTTGTATTGTCTCATCTGTCTCAAAAGAATCAGCAGCATTCAGCCATGTCGGACAGAAAAGCAACTGCTATTGTTTGCTGGTAGCACACATAGTGTTGTCCATCCGGTGTAACAATAACTGAGCAAGTTCATGCTCTTAGACATGATTCTAGGGTGGCTGTTGTTGTATTTTTTATTTTTGTAATTCGCTTTAGCATCGAAAAATAAAAAAGAAAAACAAAAAATAGATTTATAGCTGAACTTTTCTTTACGCTTTCGGTGTGTGTGCACTTTTTTGCCAAATGTCCTTAAACATTGTCAGCTACACACATTCACACTTGGGAGATCCTTTTACCCATATACATATATTCATTCACATATACGAGTATATAAGTAATTTATGTTCACACTGCACTTGATTTACAAATTTGAAATGGTTGGGATGGGTTGTGCTGGTCGGGATTGGATTGTTTGTTATTATGACCCAGATTGAATCACAACAAAAATAATAAAAACGATGACGACGACGCCAGAATGTCTCTTAGCCGCTATTTGCTATCCCCATATATTGTTGTTGTTCTCAGTGGTTATACCCCATAATACCAAACATGACGACACAATAGTTTATTGTTGTCGTCCCCACATCTCCACAAATGGTATGGCATTAGATTTGCTTCTTTGAAAATTATATTTCAATTTCTTCAATCCTAATGCAATTTGCAAATCCTTAGATGCAATTTGAGATCCTCGAGAGAAAATTATGTATTGTAGAGTCATTATGTATTATTACAAGGTATGATCATAATCATGGACCAACGATTTTTCCAGGAAGATTCTTAAAAATTCCGGTCCAAACATTAAAATAAAATTTGAAATATTTCAAATTGGATCTCATGCATAAGAAGTAAATTAAACGCCATATCTTCGAAACAAATTTAAAAAGTACCGTCTTTAAAATATCGGAGCTCGTCTTGTTGAAATAAGACACAGCTCTAAAAAACACAAAGCTAAATAAATTTAAGAATATAATGCTGATAAAGCTAAAACATATATACATGAAGGGTTTTAGATAGATATTTCGAGTTGTAAGAGAATCGAATGGTAGGACATTAAAAATAATATTTTATTGAAAATAAAATATTGTCTTCAATTCATTCAGAAAATCTCCCAATATTAAAGTGTTAGAAAAGCATAATTTTTTTTCAAATGTCCTTTAGGGATTCCAACACAAAAATCTTTGTTACTAGTATTTTCCTTATCTCCTTGCACACAACAAGTGACAGATATTATCAAGGTATTTCTGACAACAATTTTTTCTCGAAACTAATACAATGTGACAGACGACAGTAAGAAGAAAAGGACACTTGGTGAATACAATGTTGTAGTGAAGTGAATGGTGCAGTGTGTCAAGGTATAACAATAAAAAAGAAATACAAAAAAAAAAAAAAAAAAAAAAAAAAAAAAAAAGTAAAAAATAAAACATAACAAGATGAATTATTTTAAACAGACACAAAAATACAATGGTAACAAAAATATTAAAGTTAAACAAAAATAACAGAATTTAGATATAAATAGAATGTTAATACCAACAATAAACAAAACAGAATTAACCACAAACCCAACAAAACCAAATTTATAATTGCAATCAATTAACAAAAAAAGTAATAAAAATGTTAACAAAATATTAGTGATTCTTAAATTTCTTAAATAGATTATTAGCTTAAATGATGTTTTATTTTATTTCTGTACTTATACTAATGCTATAAAATTGAATATGCATGAAATTCTATTAAGAGATTTGTTAAATTTGTCCATTAATAAATAATTTTCAAAATTCTTCAAATCATGAGGTTTTATTATTAACTTTATTAACCAATATTGCCCTTTTTTGCTTTAAGTTTTCTTACTACGCTAAATGAGAAAATTTTACGTAGAGCCATAAAATAGAATTTAATTGAAAATAGTAATGCAATTAGGACAATTAGTAGCATACTTTTAGGATCTAACAAATAAGTAGACAAATTATAATTAAGGGAACCCCACCCATTCTCGATTTGAAATTTCGACGACTTATAACTAGGCATATATATATATATATATATGATAAGAAAATTAATTGATTTGTTTTTGTTGTTCTTGTTTTTTGTAACTAAAGTCCTCTTCGATGGCGGACATGATTTCCGACCACTGGAAATACATTTCTGGCTAACTAGATTTTTGAAAAAATTCATATTTTTTACCAAAACCAAGTTAGGAAATAGCGAAGATATTGACCGATTACATTTATCCTAGTACATATGATAGCTATGTATGTACCGAATAACTTATTAAAATTTGAACGGATTGAATTATTAGTTTTTGATTTATCGAGCCCGCCATTCTAAAATACAGACGTGAGATTCTGAAATTCCCAATTATAGTCGTTTGGAAAATGAGACTAAAATACCTTATATGGATAGGGCTAAAACAAAAATATAAATATTTTATTTGTATTTTATAAGAAATCCAAAATCCTCTGTGAACACCCACTTTTATTGGAAATTCCCCTAGAGCCTTTAAAGTGCCTACATGTGGTGACCCATATAGAGAATCCGAAATGCCAAATATCAGGGACTGCAGTTGAAATATACATTAGGTACTGTTAAAATAATTGATACCTTGGATGGTCCAGTATTTGAGGGCTGTGTTAAAAATACATGGACCTACATTTAATATAAAATCAATGAGCGGAGCAGTATAGTCCGACGGAGTCGACCATATGATATCCTTCACAACAGCTCCACATTCTAACTCTGGCAAATCTTGTTTTACCGAGGTGAATATTCACGCCACATTTTTGTGGTTTGTGGCGTTTAGGTTTTTGGTTGATTTGACCCGCGGAAGATTGACTGATCATCATCTATAACACATTGAGTATTTATGTATAACTCCCACATCCGAGTACATACAGCTTTATATTTGGTAGCAATTCAAAGTTCAACCAATCCTCCTGGATATACTATCAAGTTCTTGCGTCTATGTCTTTTAGAATTAAAATTATACGCCACACATGCATCAAAACAGTCATGCTCATTCTTTAGCCAGATTCACTTCCTGGTGTAAAATTTCGTGGTGTTCGGGTTATAATTGTTGCCTCTAGAGCGATCAGAAAATCGGACAGAAATAAAGTTTTTAGTCCATTTCATACCCCAAATTTTAACGGAACTTTAGCAAAAACAATAGGAGCCTTCTTTGGCCAGAATCCGTCGTACATGCATGCGTACATTTTGTGACGATTGGTCATAACTGTGGCCTGTATCGTGATTACAAATTACATATAACTAGAAACACATGTCTTGACCGACTTAGCTAGACAAGATACAAAGACAATCCTGCATCTAAATTGTATTTACCCTCTAAGTTCTATTTCCTTCTTCAAAGCTAGGTTTAAAAACGATGCAGCACAAATAAATCATCACCAAATCCCGATGATAACTTGTGCTAATGATTGGTTACCTAAGTAGTAGCGACATAGTGATAAACACTTCTAAAACATGTTTGAATCGGGCTTACGAACATGTGTCAAAATTGGGCAATTTAATGATTGAAGTGTCTGCACATGATGATAGGAATAAGAGGATGGATCTAGAACTGGACATGTTCTGATGACATCAAGCTACTAGAGTTGAAATCTATGATGATAAAAACCTGCCAAGCTGCATGAATTTTTAATTATTTCCGAAAAATTTTATCAATATTATATGCATATCTAAAAAATGTAGTTTGAATAGTTTTAAGCTAATTATAATTTAAATAATGTCGATTTTCCATAAGCCGAACTATGTTCTTCAAGTTAAAGCACATTTGGGCACTAAAATAGCAAATTAGAATTAATAGCATAACTCGAAATCCCAATAATTCGAAGATAATGGTGGTTCGAGTTATGGAAGTTCGACTGATTATAATATATATATATATATATATATGGCAATCTCTTAATAGAATTTCCGAATATTCCCCGTTAAACCACACCTAACTAGGACAAAGAAAGTGACACCATTAATAACGTTACCATGTTTTCCCTTCACAAATAAAATTCTTAAAATATCACACCATACTCGATAAATGAATAAAAAATACGACATTTTAGTAGCTTTTAATAATATTGAGTGCTGTGGTATAGAAAGAGAATTGTGGTGCTGTTATATGGTTAATATTTTTACTCCCTACAAACTTAAACCACAATGTTAAAATGTTAGCCTAAAAATATGCTAAGATGTTCTCTCTAATAAAACACAAGCCTTCAAATATTTTAAATATATAAAAAATGGGAATATTGGTAAGCAAGAGGAGGTAAGAGAGAAACGCGTGATAGTGCCTCTGTCTAAATATCACATACAATTTATTATTATTTTTTTATCTATGTAATTAATGTATAAAAAAGTATTAAGAGGGGAGTGATAATGAAAAAATCACTAAAAAGTGTTCAACCATACAATAGAGCTTTGATGATGGCTAATCTAAATTGTAAATAATTTTTGTAAAGATATTTTTTTATTTCAAATTACATCACTCCCTCCTTTTGAAAATTGTATTGGGGAAGTTTGATAGTGAAGAAAGTTGAGTATCTAAGTGTTATTATTAAAATTGTTTTTTGAATAAAAGGTGTGCTGTTTGTTGTTTGTTTTCTTCGGGTTTTTGGAACAATAATGGTAAAGCAAATGTATTTTGATACTAGTTTTTTCTTTTCGTTTTGGGACAAGGACTTTAAAAAACTACCATTTAGACGTAATAATAATAATTATTATTTTTGTGACATCTCTAGCTAGTTACGAACCTCATTAACTCATAAACACCGGCATTATGATTGGAATGTCTGACCGCTGCAGTATAATCTTCCGTCGTACCGGCCATCATTTCACTGTTGGTGCCGCTGCTGCTGGCCAAACCAAATGATTGTCGAAAGGGTGTTGAACTTTTCAATAAAGTTCGTCGATAGGCTCTTTCAAAGGGTGTCCGTGACATAAATGATGTATCGCTGGCCGCTCCCATAAATTTACCCATACGGTCGTGCGAATACAATTCATTTAGAGAGCTATGTGATAGATGATTTTGTGGCGTGTGTGCACCATCTACACAATCATAGTTAAGTAGACGGGCCACAGCATAGGAGGGTGCGGCAGCCTTCTCCGCCGATTGCGTTTCCATGGGGAAATTGGGTCTGCGACCAGAGGTTGGTGTTAAAAATGGATCTGGTTCGATACGTTCGGTGACCACATCTGGTATTGTGCCCATTGAACGCATTTTCTGTATGGGAAAATGTATAATGGCACCACCGGCTCCGGTTCCGCCTCCTTGTGATTGTTGCTGTGGTTGGGGTGAGTCATACTCATTGCCAATAAATTTGGCATTACCCACTTTGGTATGTTTAACAAATAATTTACCCGAATTTGTTGAGGAGGTGGAACTTTTACGATGTTGAAAGTTAAAGCGATACTTCTCTTCCAAACGCTGCTTCCTTATTTGTTGGAATTCCGCCCGCACTTGTTCCTCAGAATAATCATCGAAACAGAGATTATTCAGCGATTTCATTTTGGGCATTTGCTGGCGTTCCTTATCGGCCAAAAGCTTAAGACGTCGCGGTGAATTACGATCCAATTCCTGGGAGGCTTTATGAAATTCCATTTCCAATATGGAAAGATTTTCCATGGATTTAATTTTGGCCACACGTGGTGTGTGGAAATTCTCATCCAATCCGGAATCATCGGCTGTTTCACTTTCACTATCACCGCTGCCACGTTGATTGAGATCTGAATCGCGTGAACCATATTGGCTGTTGCTGTTTACGCTACGATATGTGGGCGAGGGTGTATTCAAATAATTCATACTATAGACCGAATTGGCTGATAGGGGTGGTGGTGAGGGCATTTCATTGAGGGGTGTACGAAAATCATCCATGGCATAATCTTCACGGCCCGAACAGTTGGGTGTCTGGAAAGCCAACTCATCATTCTCATCGATATTTATCACAGCAATGCCTTTACAGGGTACGACACCAAGACGACCACTGCCAACACCACCACTCGGAGTTGTACTAGATCCATCACTTTCATTATCCAATATAGCTGGCGGGGGATTGTGATATTTCAAAGTGGGTATATGTAAGCGCATAGCATTCATAGCTCTCTGATTAAGTCTATTCAGAAGAGAAACTGATTTGCTGAATCTAAATGTGTTTCTTGTTGTTCGGTTCGGGTTATTTTTAGAAGTTTTGGGTTTCATGGAAAAGGAAAATTGATGTTTTGGACCAATACCATGTTTATTTGTTTTGGGGGTGCAGTGAAAGGGTTTTTTGGTTGTTGTTTTTGTTTTGTTCATTTGTTAACACACAAATAAAATTTGTTTTATAAATAAAAAATAAAATATAAAAGAAAAACAAATTAACATAAAATCTAAATAAAAGAAAAATAAAATAAAAAATCTTACAAAATACTATAAATAAAAACTCAGACTTAAATTAAAATACAGTATTAACCCAGCTATCCAAAAACCATCAAATAGAGGAGGGGAAAATATTACAAATTTAAGAGGGAAGAAGATGTAAACAAAATTTTTTATTACCAAAAATTATATAAATATACACACTACCACCAAATATTAGGGAAAACACACATATATAGGAACGATCTGTGATTGCTTTTTAAGTGGCAATGCCAAAAAAAAAAATTTTATATATTAAAAGAACTATTATTATGTATCATGTAGGTGACCCCCCGTTTATTTTGGATAAATAACATTAAATTGTGAACAAGATAATCACTGCTTTTCTATTACATTTTTGTAGATGTGTTGACCTCCAAGATCGAGTTTAATATATAAATAGAATTTTAGATTACTTTTTGAACAGTCCTCTGAACATGACCTCACTTTAGAGGAGATGCCATATTCCAATAAGGCCGATCGCCTTCTATAAAGAATACAACTATACAATAAACGATCAAGCAAAGATTATCTCTAAAATCTGGATTAGTACAACCTAGTTCCCAGGTAATATTTTAAAAACGGAAGTATTTTTTTAATATGATAATGATTTATCATTTATGATATCGAAAAAAATTTATTTATTATTAGATTCTTGCAGTACGAGAAGAAATCATTAAATAGAAGACTCTTAGATATTCTTCAATAAAAACCAGGATCTCCGATGTCATTTTCCGAGGAGAAATTTTTCCAAGATCAAGTCGACCAATGAGGTATAAATTATTCACATTTAATGGTAATGGGGATGTTAGATACCAAGCAACTGCTCTGATTGGCTTTAACATGGCGTAGTCCAGGCTTATCTTGGTCCCTCTTTCATCTCAATTGTGGACACTGACCTCCCCGCGGTGCCACCTGGGGAGCTATTCTCATCACCCGATGAAATAGTGAGCTAATATGTGCCGCGAGTACACCCATAAGAACTATAAAAAATGAGTTGAGGCGTCGGGTTAGTTGCCCACTCTCGGAAAACCCAACCTACTATGAAAAAGCTAAGGAAAAACAAACCAAACCCCCCTAATATTGACGACCCCCACAAACATATAAAGGACCACGATCTGCGAATCTGCACTTGGAGTGTGCGCACGTTGTACAGAACAGGCGCAGTGTTCGCTTTGGCGGATGTACTCAAGAAGTACAAAGCCGATATTATTGCCTTACTGGAAATGCGATGGAAAGGGACAGGCGTAAGTAAATCAGACGATTACGCCCTGTATTATAGCTGCCACGAAAAGAGACATGAATTTGGCTGCGGATTTATGGTTAACAGGAGAATAAAAGACCTTGTCTCCAGATTCACTCCAGTAGATGAGCGAATTGCTATAATCCGTATAAAAGCGAAGTTCTTCTACATCAGTCTCATTTGCGCCCATACTCCGACCGAAGATAAAGATGAACAGACTAAAGACATATTTTACAAGCGCCTAGAAACAGCATATGACCGTTGCCCTGGCCATTTCATTAAAATTCTGCTAGGAGATTTTAATGCAAAAATCGGAAGGGAAAATATCTTTGGCCCCACCTTCGGAAAATTGCAAAGAATTGTCCACAATGGCAAAGAATTGCCCACTTCCTACAAACTGCAGCAAAAGCAACACTTGGGTACCAAAAACCACCACCAAGAAACTCATGGTACGATTAGGAGTGTCGTAATGCTACTGATGTGAAAAACGCAGCGTATCGGGCAATCCTGCAGACAGTAGCAACACGTAACGTGATGGAGAATTATCGGGAGAAAAGGAGAGAGGAGAAACGTTTCAGAAAATAGAAGAAAGAACAAGAAAAACGTGAGTGTGAGCAAATCGAGATGTACAGGAGCCAGAATGAATTCCGGAAATTTTACCAACGAGTAAAACACCAAACCGAAGGCTTTGGTGCAGGCACATCCTCCTGTAGAGATAAAGAAGGAAACCTGGTGACAGATACAGACAGCGTGAGGATCTGGAAGGAGCATTTTGAAAAGCTTCTGGTATCAAATAGTGGCGTTGAAGAAGATACCTCAGAACCAATAAGAGATGATGGTATAGAGTGTATACCACCTAGCCAAGATGAGGTCATAAATGCAATTAATCCGCTCAAGAACAACAAAGCAGCAGGAGCCGATGGGTTACCAGCCGAACTATTCAAGACTGGTGGCCAGATGCTGGTCAGGAGCATGCACCAGCTGATTTGTACAATTTGGCTAGATGAATACATGCCCAATGATTGGAACCTCAGCATCCTGTGTCCCGTGCACAAAAAAGGAGATAAGACGATATGTGCCAACTATAGAGGAATAAGTCTCCTTCCCATCTCATATAAAGTGCTATCCAGTGTGCTGTGTGAACGATTGAAGTCAATGGTCAATGACATCATTGGACCATACCAATGCGGCTTCAGACCTGGCAAATCCACCATTGACCAGATTTTCACTCTGCGCCAAATCCTGGAAAAGACCCACAAAAAACACATCGACACATACCACCTATTTGTCGACTATAAAGCCGCTATCGACAGCCCTATCCGTTCAGAGGTGTTTAAAGCCATGTCTACGTTCGGCATTCCTGCAAAATTGAGGCAGCTCTTGGGGTGTTTGAAAGAAAAATTCTCCGAAAGATCTACGGGCCGATCTATGTCGACGGTGAATATAGGCGTCGAATGAACCACGAGCTCTACAATTTATACGCGGACATTGACATAGTCAGTCGTATTGAGCTGCAGCGACTACGCTGGCTAGGCCATGTTGTGCGGATGAATGAGAATGCCCCAGCTCAAAAGGCATATAAAAACGAGCCTACTGATGGTTCCCGTAGAAGCGGAAGGTCACGAATTAGATGGAAAGACAAAGTAGAAAACAACATCCTGAAACGTGGTCTTCCAAATTGGTGGAATTGCGCACAAGACCTACGCGCTTGGAAATCTTTTTTAAGCTCGGCTTATGGAACAACCGTTCTGTAACAAGCCAGCTAAGTAAGTAAGAAAATGGTAAATACACAAGAGATAACGTTCTATATGGTTTCACATTTTATGGCGAAGATCATCTCTGAGCCCATCAATTGGAGATCTACATGAGGCCTAAATATTCGTGTGGAGTTCTTAAAATTGTTTTCAAACATAGGTGTTGATGAATGGAGAAGGTCTGCTTGCTGGTATTTAAATTTGCTCCTTGAATGTGAAAAATCGCTGCCAAGAAGATGTACCGGAGAGCGCTTAACAACCGGTTTATCGGACGGGACATCGACTCCATAACGGATAAGAAGTTCCTATTGATCAAGAGGAATCTCAAATTCATTCGGAAGTTCTCCAGGAACTATCCAAACGATATTGCGAGAGACTTCTTGAATGTTAAAAATCGGTCTTAAAAATCATCTAGGAAAATTAGGACTGGTCTGGAAGACTATCTTTCTATAAACTGAAAAAGGTATTGATATAAGGGGACATTGTTATGCTACATAAAGTAGGAATTTCTGTCCTTTGATTTGGTTTATCTAAGGTCTAATCGCCGAATATGAAAAATCGATATTTAAATCTTAGGAAAATAGGAACTCCGGATCTGAAATACTGATAGATTTATAATGAAGTCTCATACTTCTACTCTAGTTTTGAGATTTGGGTTTCTTTGTAACAAGAAAAAAAAACGATTATTTTTTTGAAATATATTCCATTTAAATTCCAAACAACTTCAAAATGTTTGTTGTTGATTTGAAAGGCACATTAAAAGAAAACAAATATCTTATGAAAATATATTTCATGTAAATTTCAAAGAACTTCAAAATTATTGTTGATTGGAAATACGCAACAAAATGTTCAAGGTCATATATTTATTATTCCAATAGGAATAAATTAATTTAATAACAATACATATGTATATACAAAAAGATTCAGAGATCAAATACCCCGAATGGAGAAAATATAAAGGAATTTGTGGTTCAAGGCCACAAAATATTTCTTTTTTTAATTTTCATTGACAAAAAAAAACTTCTTTAATAAATAATCTCAAGATCCTCTTCAATATTCTTGTATATATATTTTCTGCTTAAACACAAACGATATTAAGTGGAAAATAAATTCCTAAATTATGTAAATAAGAATAAAATTTACTTTGAAACAAACAATTCGCTCAAGGTTGTTTGTTTTCAATTAGCAAACGAGAAAAATAATGGTTTTCATCATTTTGATTCTGCGAAAAAGTTTTGTTAGCAAAACAAAAAAAACTGAAATGTGTATGACCACATTTCACTTTTTTCACATACCTCCCCCCTCATCGTAATTTTGGGTGGATGTTGGGGGTGTCTATCATTAAATTGAAAACAAAATCATCACAACCAACATCAATGTATGATTTCGGTATATTGAATTTACTTTAACGACAAAGACCAAGAGGGATATAAAGGCGCCAAAGTTTTTTCTCTAAAAAAAATGTATGTTCAAAGGAAACAAAAACGAAAAACGCATAATAAATGAAGAATACTGGGGCTGGCACATAAACAAATTTTAATAACCCGCAGAATTTACATTTTGTATTCTTCCAATCGCCAACAAACGCGAGTGGAAGGGACGTGGATTAGAGAAGCAAGCAAATATTTTATCGAATCGACACATACTTTGTATAATTTACATTTTTGACTTGTTGCCAAAAATCTAAAGAAATTATGACTACATTTGAAAAACTGCAATGTATTACAACGTATTATCATCAGATTACATTGGAAGGGAAGCAGAGAATAGTTGCAACAACAAAAGTCTGTGTGTAACCTTAAACTTTTTTCAAAACAAAACCATATATCGAAAATTTTCCAATTTGAGAAGAAAACTAAACAAATTTAGAAGACGAAAAAACAATTTAGCATACAATTTTAAATAGTCATTATCGTAAAGAGCCAATAAAAAATTTAAGCAGATTTATTTTGCAACAAATTATGGATACTTTTCTTCATACTGTTCGAAGTTTGTAACGGACAAGGGTTCACTCATCATTAATTTAAGAAAAGATTACTTTAATATTACCTATATGTTAGAATAAAATCACATAAATTGGAGTCTTTTAGTATCCGACTAGTTATTAGGTCATATGTCTTCACCAATTTGACATTTGAACATTTGAGCTGACACAATCTCCTTATTTATCCTCTCGATTAATATTTACAATTTTGAGATTACAAAGTGTGGATTCCGCTGATTTCTACATAGTCTACTTTCAGGCGATAGATAAAGAAATTAACACCAAAATTTGAATAGAGACTTTTCTAAAAAAATTGAGGGTTTTTATAGAGAGGATTTACGGTAACCTACAATAAAATCAATTGTGGCGTCGAATCGGATTTTATAGCAAAAATTTTACAGTGCGTTTTTAAAGAAGCATTTTAGATGCCTAGATTCATCAGCCATTGTGACAAACATGGTCTGAACCAAACCATTAATTTCAAGATGCAACTAGAGGATGAAAGCCGTTGAAAAGCCTAACTCATTTTCGAACCGAACCTTTTAGTTTTGTATGAGAAGATACCAAACAAAAAGGTTCGGTGTATTTAAAATTCAGACAATTGGGATGAATCATTATATGAGGGCTGTGCCTAAATGTGGACCGTTGTAGCAGATTTTCGAACATTTAGTTCGGACATTTAGTTTTGTATATCGATACTCTCTGAAGTTGGTATGAATCTAACATATGTACAGTCGGATGGAAATGGTCATGAAATCATCTAAGAATTCCTTACTTTGCAGGATATAAGTACACAATTTAGATTTCAGAATATCCCTCTTTCTATTATTATTATTTCTATTTATATAAAAAAGGAGTTATATGGGGACTACCTCCAAAAGGGTGCAAATATTAATAGTTTTTAGTAGAATTCTGTAGAAAATTGCGCCCCCAAAATCTCGGTACCGTTATAATTTGGACCAAAATTTAAAATTTTTGGCGCGAAGATTTGGTAGCCAATTTTAACCCAACGTACCAAATTATAGCGAATTCTATTCAAAAACTTGATCTAAATTCTCAAGAAAAAATTTACCGATATTGATAATTTTTAGTACGCAGATTACTACCTTCTTCAATAATAACACAATGTGCGAATTTACAGCGAATTCGATTGAACAACACGCTCAGAAACTTCTAAATTCCGAAAATTGGGTGGTGCCGTTATATGGTGACTACCCTGAAAAATGGATCGAAATAGACAAATTTTAGTGTGTAGGAGGTTTGGTACCTGAAAAGAACCCATAGTGCCCATTTATAGCAGATTCGGCGAACAAACGCGCTCAAAAACCCCAAATTGTTTGGGTACCGACACATCAAAATATCGAAAATTTTGAGTTACCTTTATATGGGGCATACCCGAAAAATAGACCGATATTAATATTCTTTTTTTTGTGGAATCATTTGGTACCCAATAAGAACCTAATGTGTCAAATTACAGCGAATTCGGTGGATAAACACTCAAAATACCCAAAATACGGAAATTGTTGGGGTACTTTAATATGAGGGTTACCAGAAAAAGTGGACCTATATTTGCAATTTTTTGTGGAGAGATTTAGTATGCAATAAGAACCGGACGCACCAAATTTCAGCCAATTAGATTGAAACGCGCTTATGGGGCCATAAGGTTTCTGAGGTCATGGACGTTTCTTTATAGAAAAAATCGAAGATCACAAAATACTCTAAAAAGGAGCCCAATATTTATAATTTTTAGTAGGGATTTGAATCCAGAATATGAATCCAAAATATGAAAAATTATTTTGAAAAACTCTACGCCATTGTTAAAAATTATTTTTAAAAAATCTTTTTAATATTTGTTAAGTGAATAAAGAAAACTAATTTCAAAAATGAGTGTAAAACCTTAATCAAAAACCAATTTCTAATTTTTTTTTATTTCTAACATTACATATTATCGTACATAATATTTTACCTAGATTAAAAGATAGATAGTAAAACAACAAATTTCAATTACATATTATAAAAAATTCACATATATATTATATTCAAAATAAACGAAAATTTCTTTTAGTTTATTTATTTACGTTCAACTAAATTTAAGTTCTTGTTTAAAGAAATACACAACAGGCGGCATATTTAAGAGAATACAAGTTATGATGTTGATGAGAGAGAGGATGTAGTATTTAGAATCATCATTAGTTTCATGATTTCGTTAAGGCAGTGTTGTTTTTGTTTGTGTGTTACAGTGTAAAAAGTAAGTGAATTCTTGTTTTTTAGTACACATCATGTTAAAATGGAGGCGTTTTTAGTAGATTCGGTTATGTATATATGGTTTGGTTTGTTAAGTTTTGTTTCTTTGTAAATTATGTACAAGTAGTGTAGTTGGTATCGTATTTTCTTTTTTCTTGGCGAATGATTTTGTCGAATTGAGTAGTAGAAATAGAAAATAAAAAAGAGAAATAGAAACTAAACAAAAAAGTTTTGTCTAGGGAACTCTAGGCTGAAGATTCCCTTTTTTGATTTTTAGCTTTCATTGCTTTTCTTTTTAAACTGCTTTTGATTGCAAAGCATAGCAAAAAAATATTTTTTTTGAAATCTTAAAAAAGAAAACTAAAAAAATAACTATATTTAAAAAATAGTAAATAATCTCTAAAGAAAGCTAATAAAAAAGACTATAAAAAAGAAACATAAAAATAATTATAATATTTTTTCTATATAACAAAAAATAATAGAACTTAAAATGGGGCAACTTTTGTAGTTGTAGAAAAAACAGAACTTCCAAAGCTTACCTTGCATGCCCTGAGTCGCCCTCAGAACTTTGACAAGAATGCTGACTGTGCGAAATACTACTATAACCGGAACCTTTTGACATCTAAAATAAAAAAGAAAAGGAACAAATAAACAAAAATAAAAAAATGTTACACCATTTAGTGTAGAAACATTTGAGTAACCCATTTGGGGCCCAACTTACTTGACTAGTATTACTGGAATTTCTTGAATGGCCCATTTCCAGGCCTGGAACTGTGGCACCTGATGTTGTTGTTAAGCCAACACCCACACCACCTATCGATGATGATGATGTGGTGCCACAATTAATGCTGCCAATAATACCAACACCAATGCCACCAACATTTATGCTGCCACTACCAACGCCAGCAGTATTACTAGCACCGCCGCCACCACCACCACCACTGCCACCCGTACCACCAATGCCACCATAGCTTTGTTGTTGTGCATTTGTTGTTGTTGTCGTTAGTGAAACACCTGGAACTAGAGTTGCAACAGATGATGACGATGATGGTGGGTAGGAAGATGATGGCAAATGCTGTTGTTGATTGTTTTGTTGTTGCTGATGCTGCTGTTGTTGTTGCAACTGCAATTGTTGCACAAATAATGCATCTGATGTTAGTGTAATGGCAGATTCTGATGATTCCGAATGTCCCGAATCCGTAACAATGGAAGCTATTACATGTTGTGGATCTGAATCTGAAATGAGGGAAAAAGAGGAAAATATTTGGTGATAAACTATGTAGATTGAATAAAAATATACCAAATTTATAAAAAAAAAAAAATAAAATACTTTAATAATACGCAATGCGTTTTTGGGTAACATTCAATGAAATACATGTATATAACTTTTGAGGTGAATAAAATCGTACGCATGAATTTAGGTACGACCCTAGTAAAACTTAGTAAAGTAAAAATTAGGGTCTCAGAGGTCATGTAAAAAACGGAGTTAATGGAATTTTTCTGTAGGGAATTTGTGGAAATTAGGACATGGAATTTATTTCGTAATGAAAACTAGATCTAAGAGAGCATGGATTTAGCTGTAAGAAAAATCAAGGCCCAAGAATCATTTTTTATAAAGATCAAATGGGAAGTTTGCGGGATCATGGAAAAAATCATGTAACATCGAAAAAATCATTCAAGCCTCCGAGTATCGTATTTTTTCCAAAAGGAAACTCAAAAAATAATGACATCGAAAAAAATTATTTAAGCCTCTGACTATCGTACTTTTTACAAAAGGAAACCTGACTAAAAAATCGTTGGCTCTAATGTGCTCTTCTAATAGGTTATGGAAAAAATTTTAAAATCGAGTCGATTTTTTAACAGATTATGGAAAACTCAGTTTAAAACATCTACTCCACTGATATACTATTGAAAAACTATTTTATATAAATATACTCCTCTGATATGGGAAAAAGATGAAAACATTTCTTAAAAAATATGCGCCAGTGTTGGTTTATGAAATAAATAGTTTTAAAACATCTTCGCCTGTGTTGGTTTATGAAATAAATAGTTTTAAACCATCTACGCCTGTGTTGGTTTATGAAATAAATAGTTTTAAAACATCGACTTAGCTGTTGGGTTATGAAAATTAATTTTTAAAAAATCTATGGCAAATAAGCCATAATCTACTCCTGTGATGGGTTAAGAAAAACCTTTTTTAAATACGCCTTTGTTGGGTTTTTAGGTTTATTTTAAGAAATCTGAACCTTTTAATTTTCTTAGGCGTTTGATCAGATATTATTTTCTTATCTTAAAATTGTGTTGTTTCTTATCCGAACTTACCATCATCTCTTATACCAGATACAGGACGTGTTGTTACCCCAATGCTGGGTAATGTTGGTGTTAGCGATGTGGGCGATTGCAGACCAACACCCGTTGATCCGGTGACCAAATCATCTGTGGGTGTTTTTTGTTTATTTTTTAAATTTGGTGTAGGACTGAAAGTAAACAAAAATAAGGTTATTTATTTTAATAAATATTCTCGGGAAGGAAGTAGAAGGAAAGCCATTTGAATATACTTACGCCTTAAATAATATGTCACCACTTAACATTAACATTTTTATCGATACAGTTAACATGGAATTATCTAAACGATGCCTCGAATCATAACCTTCGAGTAAAAATCGTCGCGAGGTTAAACCAGCGCCAGCATATTCGGCAAGATTTAAATCAATAAAACCTAACTTATAATAACTACGGCCACCCTTCATCTCTTTGCGTATCGAAATGCGCAAATAGCATGGATCCAGCACGCCCGTTGAGGCATTTGCTGACATTTTGCAGGGGAATTCGAAACTGCGATTCCATTCTACGCGATGATTGCGTACCTCCTCCCTGAAAAGAGATAAAAAGAGAAATAAAATGAATAAAATTGAATAAAGGATGAAAGAAAATTATGAGCTCACCTGCTGCTGTATTCTTGAAATGAACCACCATCTAATAGACGGATTTTAGCAAATAGCACCTCATTGACGAGTGTTACATTTTCTAATTCTTGCAATTGAACTTCAACATTGAAACGATACTTTTTCTTTTTCATCATAAAGGCCATAACCAAGGGCACTTAGGCCCTTTTAAATTTGCGTGGAGAAAAGTTGTAGTTTTAGTTGTTGTTGTTGTTGATTTAAATTAGTTGATTAAACGGCGAGTTGAAAAGACGCCAATGTCGTCTTTATTTTGAGGGCTGGGATGTTACGGGGTAAGGGGTGCTTTTCCTGGATTTGGGTTTATTTAAAATCTTTGTTTAAAAAAATATCTATTTTTTAAAAAAATGTTCACTTAAAAACAAATCATTGGGAAACAATTAATTGAATGTTTTTGTAAAATGTTGTTGTTGTTTTTGCAATGTATTCAAAAGAGGGATTGTACAACACTTTAGGAAAATTAATTTTTTTATTTTAATGATTTTGAAATGTCCTTTTTTGTTATTGCGGGAATGAGGGGTATGGTATGGATTTTGTTGCAAGAAGTTGTTAAAGTTTCTCTGTGTGTTATCCTTGGATATTATGTTGGTAGCCACCACCACAACATTGTTGCAGGACTCTGATAGTCATTGAATTGAATTTCTCCTTCTCCTATTTTTTCACTTGTCGTTTATTGTTGGTGATATCCTTGTGGTCAGCTCGGCAGACAGGACATGCCACTTTTCACTTGATACGAAATGACATTAAATCTATTAGAGAGAATGGGAGAAAAAAACAAGAGAAGAGACAGATATTAATTAAAATTCAAAAGAAATGAGGACACAAAAATGTTTTATAAAAAATGGAGATTTGTAATTAAATCAACTAAGAGATAAGTCCTTTCAAATATTCCTTCAGAGACTCGAGATCATAAATTTATTTATTAAAAGAGAGTATAAAATTCAGTAGAATTTTGAAGGACTAATAAAAGCATAGGAGTGTTTTTTTTAATGAGTTAATGATAATATTTGGTTATGGGGAAATAATTTTAAGATACTCCACACAAAGGAGAGATAGTGGAAAATATATTTTTTAAAAATCTACGAATGTGTTGGGTTAAACAAACAATTTTTAAAAAATCTACGCCTTTAAAAGTTTATAAAAAATAATTTTTAAAAAATCTATGCCTGTGTTTCATTATAAAAAATAATTTAAAAAAAAATCTAATCTAATTTTCAAAAATCTACGCCTGTGTTATGTTACGGAAAAATTATTTCAGAACTGTGCACAATATTTTTTCACTTCGTATATTAAAAAAAAAATCATTACTTATATTATAACAGGATATGAAAAATAAAAAAAATCTCCGCCCACAAGAGTGGATTTTTAAAAATATTTTCCAATGGTTGATTTTTTTTTCTTATTGCATTAAGTCCCCCGAATTACCCCTTTAAAATCCTCCCTTATTAATTTATAGTTTTTTTTATTCGCCTATGAATTCCCTTTGAAAAAATGTTTTCCATTTCCATACAACTTCGTTTATGACTTTGTTGTTGTTGTTTTGTTCTCTTTTTTTATGAGTTCTAATTTTCAAAACTAGAGCCATTATTAAGAGCCTACAGACCATTACCAGCCATATCCTAATGTCGTTTGCTGGTTTGACTACCCTGCCTGCCTTACTTGTCAAACATTTCAAATCAGTTTAACCACAAAACAACAAGCTTTGTTTTTTGCACAAAATTCTATCATCGTCATCGTTGTAGAACTTCCGATTGAAGTAGTTTGGTAAATGGTTTTCGGAATAAACATAAAAACCAGCAACAAGAACTACAACCACACCCTTATCAATAAATATTTATTTCCTTTTGTGGAGTAGGAGAAGACGACGACGGAAAAGAACATTTTTTGCTCGAGAACCATTAAAGTAATCAGTGACTTTTCTAATAGTCTTTGCTGTATAACTCATTAAGATGGTAAAAGTTCGTTTTATGGCTGTCTAAAGGACAAGAAATTTTCTAGAAAGAAAAAGAAAAAACAAAAATAATTTTGATGGACACGCAACAATGAGGTCAAATAGCTTGGCGGGTTGAAGGATAATTGTTTATGTCGCCTTTGAACAAATTAAGCCTTTGAAAGGAATAAACGGTTTTGAAAAAAATTAAAACCCCTTTCAAAATGCCATTTCTAAATTAAAACACCTAAAAGTATGCAAATAGACATTTTAATGTTACGCCTAAGAGTATACCTTAAATTCTTTATTTAATTTGCAAAAACGTCAAAATGAGAATATAGATAAAGGCGTACTAAATTTATATGACTGTGTCAAATGTTTTTGTTTTCGTCTTCTCCCTCCTCCAGAATATAGCATAGCTTTAGGCGCTATAATGCGCTGAATAACAAGCACAAAGTTTGGTGTTGTCGCTGGTGTAGACATGATTATTTCAATAGGCCAGTTAACCTTTGCGTGTTGTTAACACTTAAAATTATTTACGCCATGCTTGTTTAAAAAAAATATATATAATAAAAGAACTTAGCTGGTTAGGATATATATGAGTAATTTTATGAGGCCTTGGGGCAATGAAGAATTACGGAAAATTTTTTTGAAGAATATATTTCATTCATATTTTAGCCAATTTATAATCCTGTCTCTAATAAAATCTTCTTTATTCGATATTATATTTTTAATTTAATCCGAAATATATATTGAATTCCCTATACAAAATATACCGTACAAATATATACGAGGAACAACCTTTGATTCTGGAAAAAATCATATCTATACCTTATTTGAGGTATGAAAAATTATTTTATTAATTGTGTTATGAAAAATAGTTTTAAAAAAATCTACGCATTTACTAGGTATTGAAAACATTGTTTAAGAAATCTACATCTTTACTATGTATTGAAAAAATATTATTTTAAAAATCAACGCATTTACTAGGTATGGAAAATAACGGTTGTAGTTAAAAAATCCATTAAAAACCTTTGAAATCTTAGCTATTCTGCATATTAAAAAATCGTCCATTAGTGCGTATGATTTATATTAATTCCAGATAATTTTACAAAAGTCGCCATAACTCCCCAACGAAAAAAGATAATTAGATAAATTAAAATGAATTTGATAGCTAACAAAATAAGGAACATATGAAATATAGAGCTTATTAGTTCTAAAAAATATTGGTGAAGTTATCTAACATACAATGCCTCATATATGGTTTTTATGACACAAAAGAAAAAAACTAATATAAAAGTTCATGTGTACTTAAAATATTTACTTTGTAAGCTAAGTATTTTCAATGAATGAAAAAGCGACCTTATTTCAAAAAACAAAAACTAAAACCACATAAAATATTCAAAGAATATATAGAATTTTTGTTGGTGTTAATATAAACCACATATACATACAGGAGGCGTACATTTAAGCGATTTGTTTATGGGAGTAACTTTTGTTTGCTGTTTTTTATTATTATTTCTTTCCGTTCTTAATAATCCATTTACCACGGGGGGTTTTTTTTTTGTTTATTTTTACGTATTTAGTATATAACAAAAAAAAAAAAACTTTTCCCACTAAATAGGTGTGCTGATGACGACGACGATGATATTGAACGATGACAGTTTATTCCCTTAGAAAATAATTAAGTAAATATATACTTAACCTAAAAGCTTCTGATAGAATAAAATGTCAATTCGCCGCGACCAACAACAAACAAGGACGCACATTAATCAACGTCAGAGTGTCTGATTAAAATGAAAGGATAAAATAAATAAAAAAATGGTAAGGGAAAAACTAACAAAGAAAACAGAAAACACACCAACTTCATTGAGCCAGAAATAAAGTTAAAGTGGTTCGAAAAACAAACACATTCGCCCTGATTTGTAGAACAAGATAATGGCTGAGGAAATGTTGCTAAAAATAACAATGTTAATAAATTTTGACTAGACATGTTAGGAGTTGTATGTTAAAAAAAAAGAAAGAGGAGCGAGCTAGAAAGACATGTCGTCAAACATATTTAAGTTGACGTAGTTTCTATTTTTTTGCGAGTTTGTGCTTTGAAAACGCCAGACAAAGAAGTTTTTGGGTACACGGAAATATGGGTTTGGATTTGGCACAGTTTTTATTCCTTTGAAAGCAATAAAAACGAGGAATGAAATGTATATAATAAAATTTTATAGAATTTAAGGAGACAACAAAAAGCATGAAATAAAAAAGGATAATACATTTTATTAAAGAAATTCTTTCTTGTATAAATTTTAAAGAAAAATACCATAAATAGAACTATTTTTAACTAAATGAGGTAATACTGCAGGCTGAGTGATTTTGTTTACTTTGAAGTGCATTTAATTTTATGAGAATATCTCAATTCGTTTGAATGTTATAGCAATATTACTGAAAATATCCATAAATTAAAATAAATCATAGGCTCTAATGGACAAAATTTCCATCATAATGATTTGATGTTTTTTTTTATATCTCAAGGTAAGGGAAGTAAATTTTTGGATATCAAGAAACTTCATGTGACGATAGGATTTTGAAATTAACCAAAACACTTTTTTTAATTTCAACTTTTGAACCTATTGCCTAAATGACTTCATGCCAGGTACAATTAAAAATATATTCAAGCAAAATAAGTGACATTGCAGGCCGGATAAACAAGGAATATTATCACTGATTTTGTTTGCATTCAAATTCAATTTATTTTATGAAAATATCTCAATTTGTTGGAATGTTATAGCAATATTACTGAAAATTCCCAAAAATTAATATAAATCATACGCTCCAATGCACGAAATTGTAAAATTGCCAGAAATCGTAGACTGAAAAAATTTTCGATGATTTTTTTTTAATTTTTTATATATCTCAAAGATATCTTTGGAAGAATGATATGTTTCAGAACTTACTATGGAAACAGAGGACATTTTTGTATTTTCGTTTTCAACAAGAAGCTTCATGGGAAATAAACTTTTTTAGGGAGCAATAGGATTTGAAAATTAACCAAAACGTTTTTAACTTCAACTTTTGAACGATTGAATGCTACAGCAACGAATTTCCACCACAATTAAAATATTTTCAACCAAAATAGGATATCGCCTAAATGAATTTATTTCCACCACAATTAAAACTATATTCAACCAAAAAAGAATTACTGCAGGGCATATTTAGAAAT